TGATTAGCTGTGGTGAAGAGACAGCTTTGTTTAAGGAGAGGGTATAGAGTTTACTGCTACGTGTTTGGGCTAGAATGCCTAGTTCTGTTGGTGGGGCTCTGGGGTGGATGGTGGGATGTGTAGTGCTCGAGCGGAGGGCTGGTTTTTGATGCACTACTATTAGACGAACTAGCGGAATAGTCTATCGTCTTATGTTCTCGGTTTAGTAGTAATCGTAGGATATCGTTTTTAATCTTGGCAAAGGCAGTAAGTTAGGGGAGCGCTAGGGGCTCGTTCAGTAAAGAAAATACGCTGACACCGGGGGGGGTTTCCAGTCGTTGCCATTGTTAGAGAGAGTTGATCCACGCAAAAAGCTATTGCAGGAGGAGTGTGGCAGGTGACTACTTTACAAAAAACTGAATCAGTTAAAATGCACCAAAAAAAATAGAATTCTCAATTGACGCACAACAACTAAGAGGGGAATTCACATTTGCTTGTTTTTTTTAGCTGAATTCGGAGGTTTTATTTCATGGAATTCCCCGTAGTGAGGATCGGTGCGAAATTCACAGACAAACCGATTCATTCCTGCGTCTGATCCACTCCCCAGTCTAGTACGTTATCAGAGAGTCCAACCCCCCCGGTGATAGTACCATCACAAAGTCTCACTCGAAAACCGCACGCGCCCAGGGAAACATTGAGGAAAAGGCGATAGGCAAATCACGCTAAAGTAGATATTTTTTTTAAAGGATCAGGCCACCAGGCCTAAAGTTAAACGTGGCATTTACCAAAGCAAAAAAAACGCCATTCTAGGAAGGCGCCTCGAAATCTATGACTCCTGCCTTTTTTTTTAGTTTATCAATTCTGGGTGGCCCGCACCAACTGCGTGGTCTCCGGGAGTAACTTAGTATCTCTTCACCTACTAGCACCATGACGAGTTTCATTTTAGGGGTGCATTGGATTCGACACATTTCCACACCTATTACCCACCGCATAAACTGGCAAGGACCGTCCAGCGCTAAGTACGTTGAAATGAGAAGCGGCTGAGGTGAAACTTACCATTGCGTCAAAATAAGAGCTCTGAAAGGCCTAGTTCTGGCTACAAAGGGTTAGCCTATGGCATCTCATTGCGGTTTCTAGACAAAACTTGGGTGAAAATCTTATTTAGATGTAACTAGCGCTGGACGGTTCTAGCCAGTTATGCGGTACAGTCTTTTTTTTCTTTCTTTTTTTCGAAGAGTAATGATTACATCGACAGCATTTCCATGTGGTGGTAACGCATACGTACCTGCCGCTCCCTGAGAAAATGCACTATTAATTATATACTCGCTAATGAAGACTACAAAACCCACCGTGCCTCTCCCTCCATTTCCCTATTTTGCTTTGTTACAAACAACCCTAGACTTCAGCGAAACCCGGTCCGACCTGCAGAGCGGCTGGCTCCTTTTCCCCTCGTTCCGAACTCGTTGTGGTATTTGTCGCGAGGGTATTTAAGCTATATCCTGAGTACGAGTGGAGTAAGATACTCTCACTACATCACCTAATCATGAATAATGTAACGAGTTCTCGGTATTGTCTCCCTTCGTCATCATGAGGTTTCCCTAATATGCGTTTACTACTCGCGGCTAGAATAAGTCCTGAGACAAAGGGCTCAACCACAATCCCCCGCAAAATTCAGCCATCATGAAAACCACGATGGCTACTACAATTGCAAGCACAACTGTAACGCCTATTAATACTAAAGCCTCTATATCAGAGTCCCTCTCTAGGAGCCTGGAATTTGGTAATCGGACCTTTCATTTCGACTATAGCATCAACTTGAGTCACGGTGGTGTTTCGATGGTTGAGTGTTGTGAGGAATTGTGGTTGCGCTTGTTGTCTCAGGACTTATTCTCGGCACGAGTACAGCGGCCGATGATCTGCCTTTTCTCGTGCCCTTTCTCCGCCCTCCACACAACTTGCGTGTTGCTTTCTTCGTTTACTAAGCTTCCAATTTTATTATAGACAGCTTCCTAAGCAAAGGTTCCCGGATCATGGCCAAGATATAAGCTCCTATGCATCAAGTACTAATCTTGAAGTGCGGGGGGGACCTCCGCTATCCTCTTTGCGTCACGGATGCCGTGTCCCGGGCTCTGGATCTGGTGCATGTCCTGGGGGCTCTGTATATCCTAACACAATGCCGAATGCAGGTGTTGTGCCTTCCCAACCTCTCCCCGATATCTTGAGTTATGATGATGATCGTCATCCATGGTGGCCAGATATTTCCGAAGCCGGATTTAGTAACTCGAACGATGGTCTGGACTCTTCAGAGTATAATAATATTTGGTCATTGCATAGTGATCCTCTGGGCTCAAATGGATTTGATCAGCTGCGGAGCATCTGTCCTGGACATTCAACTCTCTTGCTCGAAAGGGCCCTCCATGATGCGGACGGAGATTTGGCAAGAGCCATCAACATCGTTCTCTACGAAGACCAAGAGGCGCAAAGGCAATACCAGGAACGCCTACAACAAGGAAAGCAGCTTTCTGAGATCCCTCAGGCAGCAGGAGGTGGGAATTTTCAGGGCTTTGCTACGGGAACGCTCCAAGGGTTGGAAGGCTATGGCTCGGACCTTGAAGTCTTTAATCCGCAGCCAAGTATACCATCAACAAAAGAAAAGAAACCTTTCCCCCAAACTCCGCCGTCGGTCCTTCATTCCACAAATTTACCATCTTCGGCATTGGTCCCTTCTAGTTCATTTCACCAGGACCGGTGTTCTGGCGCTTCAATAACGCCCGCCTTCCCCTCTAAAACCTTCTCTTCAGTTCCCGATAGTACTCTGGAACTTACTATTTCCCCTAATCCTCGGCTTACTCAAGGATTTTCTGCTGAGGCTGAGTCGCATCTTGGACTTAGACACGTCCCGTTAACAGGTCGTCCTGAGGTAACCTACGTGCAAAAGGACCCCACACCCCCCGCTCGATCGAGGAAAGGCTGCTGGTTCGTGTCCTCTCACCCTTTTTGGGGGGGATTCTGACAAATTGTTTTATCGTTTAGGAAATGCCGAGTATGACGAGAGCCATTCCTCAAAGATTAGAGACCTTCAGAACTCCCAATTCGGTTGTTTAAAGGAAATTTTTAAGCTCGCACGGTCCAGGGGGTTGTCGGTTTAAGGAATACCTATGAAAAATGGGTCTATGTTGTTAGGAATCTCTGAAAAACCTTTTGCCCCAGAGCAAGAAAAAATAGAGACCCAACCAGCCCAGCTCCCCACTATACCTCTAAGGGAATGTGTAACTGTCTTGGCCAACTTAAAATTTTCCTTTAAGCAGCCGAATTAGGAGTTCTGAAGGTCTCTATTGAAATTGACTCAACTAACCCTTATTATAGGGTCGGAAAGTTAAATGCGATGAAATACATCCTAGATGCGGGGTAACTCCTCCTACTCTCCCCTCTCCTGGTCGACAAACCAGACGGTTGGTTTCTGATCTTGGATAGCATTGCCAACGGCTGAATTATAAATGCGACTACACCCGAAAATACACCTACAAGGATGACTCGCCGGCTAAAGAGCTGGAGAGTATCACAGATCGTTCTGGAAATCGTATGAATCTCTCTCAGATCTTTTCACATTTCCTTGCTTTGTGTGTTTGTGGCATCGGAAGCTGTTTCCTGACCTCTCACTTTGTTCAGCCGACCCTTACGGGTTCCCCGGGAATGAGTGGAGACCGGGAGATGGCCCGCATCTTATCCCGGCATTTAGGTTTGCCGAATGTGTGCGCGACGCCGATCGAGAAATGCTTGCAGCCCAACACAAACCAGCATCCTTCTTTGTGGTTGCTACCTACCAGGCTTTTGCGAAGGTAGCCGGGAAAATCAACCCAGGAATTCCGACCTGCTATTACACAGTGAGTCTATCGGACCGGTTGCCTCCCCGAAACGCTCCAGTCTCGGTAACGATCCTGGAATTCCGCCGCACTGATCCGGGGGCTCTTCCTAACGTGTTGGGAGAGAGATAAGAAGTACTCGGGTGAGGGGAAAAGTATTAGGACAGGCAAGAGGTGGTGGAATTACTCGAATTAGTAGTCATCTTACCTTTATGGTTCTTTGATACTCCTTCCAAAGTATATGCACAAGCCTCTGCTACCCCTGCTTGTCCCAATACTTCACCCCTACCCCTAATAGCCTCAGCAGTGTTCCTAGGTGTCTGGTGGGACTGCCGTCGACGGAGGTCGGGCGGCGCTGGCGGTGTGTTTTCTTCGGTCTATTATCGTGTTTACAGAAATAAGGCGAGGGAAAATAGCGATGTTGCGAAATACTGTGCTATAATGAGTACGGTATTTCGCAAGGTCTTTGTTTTCCTTACTCCTCAACCTCTAGGCTTCCTACTGGATTTTGCTTCAATCAGGGGAACGCCTGGGGCTTGACTATCGTATTTATGTTTGCTTTGGCGTTAGCTTGTTTTGAGTATTAGGAATAAGGTTTTCAAAAATACCACATTATATTTTATTGGTACGATATATGCTCCACAGGGCCTAAAAGAGCAAAAACAGAGTCCGCAAATATCCCTGACGTTGTGGAAAGTACAAGAGAAAGCTTCCTGAGGGATCATTTCATTATCTGGAGATGGGTGTTCTTAGGCAGACCTACCTTCACAGCCTTTGTGCGCCCTCGCCCTCCCCCTTTCGGGTCTCTCCTGGATAGATGCGTCTCATCCAGTGGTTGCTAAGTTTGTTGCGTGCGATGATCCTGTAGACTTTCTACTCGCCACGTTGGAGTACAGTGAGGAGGTATGGGGAGGTTTAGTGGGATTATTTCGTCAAGCAAAATAAGAGGTCACAGGAGCGAGGCCAACCACAAAATTTAATGAAATTGGTTTTCTCCAATTCCCTTGGGATGCCAATGAGCCCGCGCCAGTCTCCACACAAAAAAAGCCAAGAAACGCGTTTGTATGCGTAGGAGCCCAAGCTGCCGTGTATGGGTGTCACCTGGCTTAAGAAACAAGGACAAAAAAAAGGTGAAAAAATTGAACGAAGCAAGCTCAATGGTTCCACAGAGGGTTGAACTCTCGACCTTGATGTAATATACGAAATATTAGTATCATGCGCTAACCAACTCCGCCATGGAACCGTTGCTTCTGGTTGCGGTATTGACGTTAAGTTGGCATAGGAAGAGAAGAAGGGTGGGCTAAGCTGCTTGGCTTGCAGACTAGGAGATGGCAGGTGGATGGGTGGTTGTGCGGAGAGAACTCAGAGAAAGGAGGGAGGAACAGGAGGAGATGGTGTGGTGTGCTTGGTAGAGCTTGGGTAGAAGTTAGTAGCACAGAGCGGCCGCGGGAGTCGGTGGGGGGTTTGTAGTGCTCGATCAACCGAGTTTTTTCGCTTTTTTCTCACCCTTTTCTTTCTTTATTTCCACCACCCATCCTTCGCCACTCGCTAATTTACCGAATTATGAAAGAAACCTTGCTCCATATCAACACCAAAAACATCTAGTTTCATTTGTTCCGGCTATCCTTTCCTGAGTATCACGAGCACTGTGAACAACATGGGGTAAGCCCTAAAACTGAAGGTTGATGTTGTATTATACCAATACTTCATTTCATGATGCTGTCGACTACATGAGTTGCACACATAGAGCTCAAACATAACTCCTCGCCGGAGTCAAATAATACCGTGCGTTACCGAATTGTATGACAAGCAGCGGATACGGTACCGTAAATTACATCTGCAAGTTACGGTCCTCTCAGACGGCATTCGATACCAAGAGCTTTGACGTCCGAATATTGTTTTTGTTCTGGGATCCCGGGGGCTAGGTTGTCTGAGCTCTCGTTGTGATCTACGAGTGGACTGCTGCTCACCCATATACTTTTCCTAAGCTCTACTCCCCTAAGCCATTGTTCTCCTTAATTTCTTCTGATCCTTAGTTTTACCTCCCAATAACTCTTTCCATTACTAGCCCGGCTAGCGGTTTTTATCAGGCGTACGATAAGCTATCGTATTGTACTCTATGTAAACTGGCTTGTCAAACCATATCAGTAAGCGAGTGATAGGTCGTGATGGCTCTTGGGGAAGAACGTGAAATTTTGAGTTTGTAGGGTAACTGTGCCAAGGCCCTTGCTGATTATGTAACCTCCCGCGGCTCTAAATGTTGTATCGCGTCTACGACGTACCTTTCAGCTCGGCATGAGGTGTCAACTCAATGAAAGATTTGTCCTCTGCTCCAATTTCCACCCCAGCCAGCCCTCCAAAAAAGCTGTATTGATGCCAGAAAATTATACAAATGCTGAGTCCAGAACCAAAGATGCTTGTCAGAAGTTACTCAATACCCATATGCAGAATATTTCCCTATGGCACAAGAGTTTCCAGCACCCAAGAGTCTCTTGAGAGCGGAGTGGAATGTCCAGTGGCCGAAAATATTATACAACACAGCGACAGCTAGAAAGATTAGAAAAAGAGGCACTTCACGACGAGAAAAAGCGGTGGGAACTATTTCATAAGGAACTTAAACAGTTTTTCAGGAAATGAAATACTCAATTTATACGATTAGAAAGGGGTGGGGCTATGAAAATATAATCTTTCAAGGGTATATGATTTGAAATCTTATTTTGAGCTTAGAGGCACGTTGCAGACATACCGCAACATTTGAAGATGCGTCCGGAGATCTTTAAATGGCCAAGTAGTCAGGAGGTTGATCACGTAATGGGATATAGTGATGGAGCTAACTTTTCAGCCTATTTTGAGCGTGCAGTTTCCATGCCCATAAATTACACAGCCGTTTGCCAGCAGTTCATGAGTACTTGTAATTGAAGCATTGAATCTGCTAGCGAGTCTTTGCTAAGAATACCTCCGTGAGCCAAATATTGGGTGAGAACTCGAGCAAAATATTTGTTGCCAGGGGTATTCTTGGCAAAGGCTACTGAGTATTATCTCCTTCCCCAAGCCCTAACTTGCAGCCGATTTAAATGAATGCTCATACAAAACTGATCAACTCCTGAGACTAGTTTAATGATAGCCCAGTTTGAATTCATGCTCGGTATTCATGTTCCAAGTCATTGGCTGCTAGCACGTACGTGTACTCGTGCTTGAGTACCGTACTACCGTAGTACACATATCTACCTTCTTGCTACATCTTTACCGAGCATGCGGCAAAACAGGAAACCAAAACTTGGCGCGAATGCGCGAGTACGAGGACTTGAGGCTGAATTGCTTCCGCACTCTAGAAAAGTAACAAAAGCAACAACAGGTAGGACGCCAACTTTAGCGAGGCTCTGCCCACCAGTACGCATTATCTCGCATATTTGCCAAGAGAAGGTGTGATTTCCAAATTTTCAGGTCCTGCAAGTATCCCCTCGGCTGCTGAGACATTCCAGTCCTGTTTAGAATGTTGAACACTAGCCTATTTGAGTAACCGGGAGCAAATCTACACTGTCACTCCCGTTTCTATCATGGCCATGCTGAACAGTACTGATTTTGCGGTATTCTGAGCACTACGCTACTTCTGAAAGACAACGTTTTTTCTATCACGATTGCTCAAATAGGCTAGTGTTCAACATTCTAAACAGGACTGGAATGTCTCAGCAGCCGAGGGGATAAACACTGTGCATACCGGTAAAACACTAGAACAATTTAAGAAAGGTAGTAACGTTAGGTAAGCACGAAATATTATTCTAAGGCGACAAAGGATAAAAATATAGTGGCTCGTTTCCAAGTACTAGTACTCGAGTACTTGAATACCTGGTAAGACCCGGGCAAGACCAATGATTACTTTTATTTTGTTTCCTTGATGCTCTATTGTCTCGCATCACCGGCAGGTTCATAGAGCTTTGAGCGCGCGTTGAATTTTTTTCTATCTCCTCCCTGCTCCCTGCCGAATCCCTACAGTTGCTGTGGTAACATAATGAGCAACGAGTGAGCAGAGCCTCTCTTTTGGTAGAGAGTCCGCGCGTTCACAGCAGTGTTCGGATCATGGGCGGGTATGCTGCTGTGCGAGTGACGTAAAGAGCTACTGTCGGGAGCTCAGTAGGACGGTACAGGTAAAATCACTAGTGTCGAGGGTGTCCAAGAAGAAGGTATTTTTCATTCAGACTTTTGGCTATTATTTCTTTTGCTGAGATCCAGGCGAAATGAGGTGGTGTACTGGCTTCCCTTCAACCTCCAAGACAATGTGATACCAATACGATGATTACCGTAATATCTGCACCGGACATTACCGGCGCTCGTGCAACCCAGAGCTTTGTAAGTTCCCGCCATCGCCTTAGGCCCCAGAGATTCCCTCAGCGTCGAGAGAAGTCAGATTCTCATTGCACATGATCCCTACCTATCTCTCACGAAAAAAGAAGGGAGTTCGAATAATTAACTATAGCACAGATGTCGTCAGGACGCCAGCAGGTCATCGGCAATGCTAACTCGCTGAACAACCGCAATGTTGCCAACGTCGCGGCAGGGCCAGACGCTGAGAGGCGCCAAATTCTGCAGTGGCTATCACCACTCAAACCACAACAGCGACACCAAGGCGTGCGAACCGACCGACTCGATGGTGTGGGAAACTGGGTACTAGAAACTAGTGAGTTTAGAATATGGCGTGATGCGGAAGATGGTTGCGCTGAGCCAGTGTTGTTTTGTTATGGGAATCCGGGGGCGGGGAAAACGTATATTAGGTAAGAAGGTCTCATGTCTAGAGAAGGGCAATGCTGGGGTAACTAACAGGTAGCGAATGGTAGCTCCTTAGTGATTGATGGCCTGAGCGACTACGTTAGGGGGAAAAACAGAACTGTGGTGGGATTCTACTGCGATTTCCTTTCCCACCAGGAACAGTCCACTGTAGGTATTCTGGGTGCCATCCTCAAGCAACTTGCCAGCAGAGGAGAGATCCCGGAGCATATACGGAAGGCTTTTCAAAAGGCTGAGGAAAGGTTTGGCGGTCGAGGTCTCCGACTTCCGGATATGCTAGAAATTCTGAACAAGACCATCTCATCGCTACAGCGGATATTTGTATGCATCGACGGTTTAGACGAGTTAGCTCCGAAACACCGACGAGAGCTCCTTGAGTCGTTGCAAGAAGTCGTTCGGGTGTCACCAAACATACGAATATTACTTACAGGGAGGCCCCATATCGACGACGAAGTCCGGGAATTTTTTACCAAGGCGGTCAAGATACCTATCACTCCAACCCGGGATGATATTAAGAGCTACCTAGAGATGAGGCTAAAGGGTGACACTACTCCGAAAGCAATGGATGACGAATTGCGGGCGGATATTATGAGAGTCATTCCAGAGAAGATCTCAGAAATGTAAGCTAGAATATCGAATACATCTCCAACACAAGTCCAAGTCATTATTCACTAACCGTGATGCCTAGCTTCCTTCTCGTTTCACTAAATATTGATGCAATCTTGGCCGAGATTACTCTCGATCAGAGAAGGAAAAAAATTGACGCGATTACCGAAGGGGAGGGTCTGAGTGAAGCTTACGCTGCAACCCTATCACGAATGAAGGTGCAACAAAAAAGCAGGTCGAAACTTGGTATGAAAGTTCTAATGTGGATATTGCATTCGGAACGGCCGTTGCGTGTCGACGAGTTATGTCACGCCCTTGGGGTAAAGGGGGGATCTATGGATTTAGATATTCGGAATATTCCTACGGTCGAAACGCTACTGGAATGCACTCTGGGACTTGTCACAGTTGAGAAGTTCTCGTCTACTGTTCGGTTTGTCCACTACACTCTTCAAGAATACCTCTCCCGTAATCCCAACTTGTTCATCATGCCCCACTCAATGATTGCCGAAGTTTGTTTAACCTACCTCAACTTTCGCCAAGTCAAAACCATTTCGCCTACAGTCCATTCGGTCCCACCAACCACTCCTTTTGTATGGTATGCTTCCTGTTACTGGGGTACACATGCCAAGCGGGAAACGACTAAGAGCGTGAAAGCGCTTGCATTAAAACTACTCGATGGATACGATAAGCATATAGCTGCGACGATTCTGTTCTTGCGTAAGCTTCCTAAGTATCGCCCTTTTGATTGGGCAGACTGCCCTACGGGGTTTACAGGGCTTCACGGTGTGGCATACTTCGGATGCGAGGAGATAATGGTTGCTTTATTGGAGACCAATAAATGGGATATGGAGGCAA